ACATCAATAATGAAAGGACAGGGAGAGAAAGACTGTCCTGTGAAACAGACTAGAAAGAAACAGACCAAGAGGTGGCAAAAGTACTGCCTTGGATCCTTCCAGGGGGGTGGGTGAAGGGCCTAAACCTGCTTCTTGTCAGATTGGGCATCAGAACTGAGCTCAATCCGTGAAGCCAGGAGTTGAGTTTGGTTCCCTCTCCATGACCCTGTCCCCTAGTCTGCCATGTACAGCAGCAGCAGCAGCAGCTTCTCACCTCCCCACCCACCCCAAACGTTGCCCATGATAAGAAGGCTAGTTGCAAACCCAGGGAAACAGGAGGACCTGACACAGCCAGGATACCAGGAACTAAAAAAACAGGATGCTCCTGGCCCAGTGGCTGGATCTTCAGTATCCTTACTATTAAGGTGGGAAAGGAGCTCCCAAATGTTCAGGCGGTTCTGGTTCGGATTTGTATTTATTTATTTATTTATTTATTTATATTGTTTTCCTTTTTCTTTATTTGTTTCTGTATGTGTGCGTGTGTGTGTGTGTGTGTGTGTACAAAGGAGGATATGGCTAAATGATTTTTTAAAATTTATTTTGTGTTTATTTTTATGTTTGGATTCTCTTCAAGAGCTCTTAGACGGTGGTTCTGATTTTTAAATGCTAGAGAGAGGTTAAAGGAAGAACAGTTGAATAGTATCCATTGCATTGACACTGAGATTAAGAGGGACAGAAATCAAGTTGGGATGAATAATAGGTGAATGAGAAATTAGGATGTTGAGATCGCAATTATAAACTGCTTTTTTGAGAAGCTTGACTAGGCCCAGCGCAGTGCTTCACACCTGTAATTCCAGCACTTTGGGAGGCCAAGGAGGGTCGACCACTTGAGGTCAGGAGTTCAGGATGAGCCTGGTCAACATGGTGAAACCCCATCTCTATTAAAAATACAAAAATTACCCAGGCATGGTGGCATGCACCTGTAATCGCAGGTATTTGGGAGGCTGAGGCAGGAGAATCACTTGAACCCGGGAAGCAGAGGTTGCAGTGAGCTGAGATTGTGCCACTGCACTCCAGCCTAGGCCACAGAGTGAGACTCTGTCTCAACAACAACAAGAAAAGCTGGACTAGGAAAGAGAAGAGGGGAGGGAGGAGCGCAATAGTTAGAACAGATTTTAAGATTAAAGGGGATGTTTTTAGGAACGGACAGACAGTATTTTCACAATTTCCAAAGTGTTGAAGTGAAGTAGGGAGTGGCCTAAAACTGCAGAGATAGAATTTCTTGGAACGATAGTAAATCTCTTGTGTATTGGGGGCTAAATATAACCATCTTCGGCTTGTAGCAGATCTACCTCCACCTGTGTTCCTGTTGAGACAAGGTCTGGCTCTATTGCCTAGCCTGGAGTGCAGTGGTATGTTCTAGGCTCACTGCATCCTCTGCCTCCTGGGCTCAAGCCATCCTCCCACTTCAGCCTCCTGAGTAGCTGGGACTACAGGTGCACACCATAATGCTGGGCTCATTTTTTTGTATTTTTTGTGGAGATGGGGTTTCGCCAGGTTGCCCAGGCTTGTCTTGTACTCGCGAGCTCAAGCAATCTGCCCACCTCAGCCTCCCAAAGTGCTGGGATTACAGGTGTGAGCCACCACGTCTGGCCTCCTTAGACTTTTGATATTATTTGTGTTACTTAGTTAACTAGGTACCTTCTTGCCTGATTGGGCCAGATGCCTACTTACAGATCTGGATGGGTGGTACCCTCCTGTCTGCCACTGAGTCTCCTGGCATCCCCTCTTGCCCCCTAGGAAGACCTTCCAGGCCTCCTTGCTGGTGCTGTGCTCCTCCCTCACATCTGTTGCCTCACTAAGACATCTCTTTCTGGACATCTTGCTTGAAGTTAGGCCACTTGCCAACAGTATAGGCAGACAGGGTTTTCAGAGTTATTTGTGACTCAACTAAAAGTTTGTAGCATATTCTTAATAGTCTGTATCCCAAGAATTATGCCGGATATCAAACCAGTAAGAGTGGTGAGTCCTGGGAAGACTGGATTGGAGGAGAGGGGACATTGGTTAAGAGCCTCTCATCCATACTGCTTCAATTTTTAAAATGAGAATTAAAATTAAATTTAAAATAATTGTGCTGAGTAGTCAAGTTTGAAAATTAAAACCATATCAGAGGTGATACTGGTAAGATACCAGCAAAATAAATATGGTTTGTTGAATATGTATTTCTTTCAACCCGCCATATTCCCTAGGAAAGGTTTAGTTCTAATTATATCCTGTAAGTTTAGTTAGGTAGTTGGCTTTGGAATAATTTTTTATTTTTATTTTTTTGAAACTGGATCTTGCTGTGTCACCCAGGCTGGAGTACAGAGGTGTAATCACGGTTCACTGCAGCCTCGACCTCTCAGAATCAAGCAATTTTCCTACCTTAGTCTCCTTAGTTACTGAAGCTACAGGTGCATGCCACCATGCCGGTTAATTTTTTACTTTTCTTTTTTCTTTTTTTTTTTTTTTTTTTTTTGGGTAGAGACGCAGGGTCTTCCTATGTTGCTCAGGCTGACCTTGAACTCGTGAGCTCAACTGATCCTCCTGCCTCGGCCTCCCAACATGAAGTGCTAGGATTACAGGAGTGAGCCACCACACTCAGCCTAGAGGAATTCTTGAAGTCAGCTTGCAGTTTAGCAGGACCTGGGAACTGATTTAACCCAAGATCCACTGAACATTCCCATCCCTTCTATGAATTCCAAGACTATTTTGGCTGCTCTGAAAGAGAGTAGAGAGAACTGGAGTGGTTCACAGTTTTACTGCTGCTGCTGTACCTGATCAGACGATAGGATTGCAATGTAGTTCTGAGCATTGCAAAGCTGTTTTGGGGGAATTTGCCACAATTTATACCTTAGAAGGAAAATAGTGCTGTAGATATTTGACTAGGTAATTTCACATGTTGATTTTAGAATTTTTATATTTATTTAAATATGTGTGTGTACCTGATACAGAGGTTCACAGCCTTGCAGAGAAAGTAATGAAGCTGTTTCGTAAAACCTGGATTCAAGAGTACTTGGAAAACTGCTCAGTTTCTCTAGCCTGCCTACCCTCTGCTTTAATTCCTTTTTTCCATCCCTGAATACAGGCAAGAGTTTGAGACTCACTGCCCAGCAGGCTAGGGACTGAGTGGCTCTTTCTAGCCATGTCTGTTAAGGAGACATGTAATAATGAGCAACTTTATGGGGTTGGCAAATAATTTGGACTAATGATAGATCCAGAGAAGAATCTGTGTTTTAGCCTGAGCAGAAGCTTTAATGAGAATAGGGGACTAAAAATTAGTGTTATTCTCTTGCTAGTCTACAGTTGACAAAAAATTAATGAATCCAGTTCTCTGAAGCACTGAGGGTCAGATATAACCACATAGCCTCGAGCAGGACCAGACTCATCTTGGAAGTTGCAGCCAACTTCCTTTGTTTTCACCAATGTATTTAATTAGGGGTCACATCCACATTCAAGTACTGAATTGCTGGGATCCCATTGGGGTTCAGTTCAGCTTTTGTTTATTGGACTCTGCCCAGTACCAGATTCAAAGGTGTGTCAGACATAGCCCTTGCTGTCAAGGAGCTCCTGTTGAGTGTAGAAAACGGACCCATGGATATTACCAATATAATATATATCTCAGAGGAGGAACACTTTGTCAGACCAAGGAGGATTTGCAGGAGATAACACCTAAAAGAAGAGGGGCTCTCAGACATTAGCGTATGTGTTGTGAGTAAGGAAACTGTGTGCAGTCATGAAGTCATAATGGGTCTGGAGAGGTCTTGGATTTTACCCTGAAGGTAGTTATTGACTGAATTTAGGTGGCGAGATACCCAAAGTTCAAATTTGCTTTTTAGAAAGAAAGACTGCTGGGACACAATGTATAGGAGGGAGATAGGGAGATAACTCGAGTTAAGATATTTCTAATTCTCATTGCAATTCCATCTGAGAATTACTGATTCAAACACTATTAAATAAAAAAAGTCAAGTAGAGGGGACGACAGATAGCGGGGCAGTGAGGTGCTTCCACATTCCCTGTGGCACCATCTCAGCACTGTGCCCTAACATGGGGCTGAAGCTCTGACTTAAAATCTCTAGCTGGGGGAAATGAGGCACGCTGTTTTGGACAGAAGTATTGGGTTGATTGTGAAACTAAGGGGCCAACTTCCAAACAGTGCCACCTTTCTGACAGCGGTGTAGATACTGGTTCCAGATGAGCCTCTGCTGGGCTCACCATTGCTTTGAACACCTGCACACGCATAGGTGGCTCCAACCTTGAGGAGCATTTCTTCTGCATTTGTTTGTGTCATTGTAAAATGAAGGTGCTGGCTATTTAAAATATATTCCTATATCTCTATATTCAAATATGTGAATATATATTTCATAGATTCCATCATGAAATAAATAAAATATTCACAGCATTTATTAGCAACTTGCTATAAATTGATTTTGAAGAGACTGTTCCAGCCATTATCGGGAAATGCACTGGGGAGAAGTGAGGAGCAAGAATAGGAGCAGAGAACCAGCTAAGCGGCCCCAACAAGCAAGAATGACAGCAGTGAAAGTGAAGAATTTTTGGTAGATCTGATTTTGAAAGAGGAAATGATAGGACTTGCTGATGGGCTGATATGAGGGCTCGGGTGAGAAATTCACGACAGATGTCAGGGTCTGCCCTGAACAACTGGGTGGAGGGTGATGCCCTTGATTATAAAAAGCCTTAATAACCACTTCCCTTTATTGAGCATGTGTTTGGTATCCTGCCCTGTACTAAGAGTTTTATACATATTTCATTTAAACTTCAAACAAACCCTATAAAGAAAGTGTTGTTACTGTTCGCAGTGTTGGTTGAGGAAGCTGAGCCCTGAGAGGTTGGGCTGCAGGCCCTGAAACAATAGCTGGTGAATAGAGGAGCTAGATTTCCACGAGACTACCTGTACCACTGCCTTATATGGCATCTTTCTATGAGTGTACAGCTTACTGTGATTTTTCTCTCTTTTCAGGGTTGTGGTTTTTTTGCACTGAATGTAACGTAGACTCATCTTCACGGGCTTGTGTTGCCCCAGGTACTGTCAAAGGTAAGTTTTTAAAATATATATCTACCATGTATTGGCAATAGTCTTCTTCTTAAAAAGAAGTACTTTTTAAGAACATTGTTGCCCCTAGGCCGGGCACGATGGCTCACACCTGTAATCCCATCTACTTTGAGAGGCCAAGGCAGGCAGATCATTAGGTCAGGAGTTCAAGACCATCCTGGCCAATACGGTGAAACCCCATCTCTACTAAAAATACAAAAATTAGGCAGAAGTGGCGGTGGACACTTGTAGTCTGAGCTACTCAGTAGACTAAGGCAGGAGAATCACTTGAACCCAGGAGGTGGAGGTTGCAGTGCGCCAAGATCACGCCATTGTACTCCAACCTGGGTGACAGAGCAAGATTCCATCTCAAAAAAAGAAAAGAAAAGAACATTGTTGCCCTTTTACCAAGTCTTTACAGAAAGATATTTTATTTTTAAGGTGACCATCACAATAGCCCCTTGTTTTCCTACTATATGGTAGGTCCCTTTAAAAAGCAGTGGTATTGGCTGGGTGCGGTAGCTCACACCTGTAATCCCAGCACTTTGGGAGGCCAAGGCAGGCAGATTATAAAGTCAGGAGTTCAAGACCAGCCTGGCCAAATGTTGAAACCCCGTCTCTACTAAAAATACAAAAAAAAAAAAAAAAAAAAAAAAATTAGCTGGGCGTGGTAGTGCATGCCTGTAGTCTCAAGAGGTTGAGGCAGAAAAATCGCTTGAATCTGGGAGGAGGAGGTTGCAGTGAGCCAAGATAGTGCCACTGCACTCCAGTCTGGGTGACAGAGTGAGACTCTGTCTCCAAAAACAAACCAAAAAAAAGCACTGGTATTTTAGATGGATAGACATTTGGTGCCTCATCCTAGAAAGCTACAACTTAGTTATTAGGATTATATGAGTTTTATGCTTTATGTGAGTGTACTCCCAGTTTCTCTGTCTCTAGCCTTTCCCTGCTGTGGTCTGTAGTCCACATTACTGCCAGAGTTCACTTTCTGAATGGTAGATTTACTCAGGTCACGCCTTTGCTTAAAGAGCTCTCATGGCATCCAGTTGCTGCAGATGTTGTCCTTCAGATCCCTTCAAAACCTAATTCCAGCCAACATTTCTGGCTGCCTTTTTAGTGAATCCTCATGTGTAAGCCCTAACGCACCATTTTCTTTCGTGGCATTGTGCCTTGGTTGATGCTTCTCTCTTTTTGGAGTTTGGAAGCGGGGAGGGGAATGTGACCGTCTAGTCTCTTTGTGTTTTTCTTGTTGTCTTCTCCCAAACTCCCTTGGCAGAATTTCTTTTTCATCTGTGTTGCAAGAACACCTATTGTTATTACAGTAATAAGTTTTTCAGTATTTTATATTGAAGTGATTTATTTGTGTCTGTCTCCTTTACTAATATATAAACCCTTTGAGACTGCTTGGAAAGGAGCTAAACCTATTTTTAATGCCTAAAAGAGGCCCCCACAAGCAAGAAAGGATGACAGCAGTGAAAATGAAGAATTGTGAGTAGATCTGAGAAACAAATTTTGAAAGCAAAAATGATAGGACTTGCCGATGAGCTAATATGAGAGTTCCAGGGATAGGATGAGAAATTAATGATGAATTTTTCCCCAACCCTTTGCTCAGCTTATGTGCCTAGTGTATGCACCTTGTCTCTATAGAGACAGCCACTTACCAGAAGACAGTAGCCATAACTATAGCCTCTGCTAAGGTCGCAATACTCTGTGGCCTATGGTTTATGAACCTCCAGTTCACCCTCAGTAGTGTAGAGAAATAAGATAAAAATTCTCTTAGACACCTTGCCAAGAGTTCTACACACATTGTTTAATCTTTATAATACCTCTTCCTGCACAGCTTTATGGATGAAAATACTCAGGATTAGAAAGTTAAATAACTCGTCCAGGATCACACAGCTAATAACTGACAAGAATGATTCTACATTTTTAAAGCCACAACTCATTCCAGCATAACACACTATCCCGACTCCATCTGGCATGTGGTAGAGGCACAGTAAATGTTTATTGAATTGTTACCTATTGCGTTTTAAATAAAAAGCATTTCAGTTGCTTAATTCAGTCATTCTTACCTAGAAATTTATTGAATACCTATTAAATGCCAGGTACACAGTTTTAAGTAGACTGAATAGACAGATCAACAAGATTTAGTGCCTGATATCAAGGGGTTGACACTTCTAATCCTTGTCACATAGAGCAGGCATCCCCAAACTACGGCCCGTGGGCCGCATGCGGCCCCCTGAGGCCATTTTTCTGGCCCCCCGCCACACTTCAGGAAGGGGCACCTCTTTTATTGGTGGTCAGTGAGAGGAGCACAGTAGGTGGTGGCCCTCCAACGGTCTGAGGGACAGTGAACTGGCCCCCTGTGTAAAAAGTTTGGGACGCCTGACATAGAGGAATCTGTAGGAGTAAATAAATCCAATAAAGTGTTACAGATCCCTTAATAGAATTCAAACAAGATCCAGCACTGAGGAAGGGATCATCACTTCTGCCTAGAGATGGATCAGAAAATAGTTCATAAAAATTGAGCCTTGATTGAAAATTAGGGTGTCCCCTTGTGGCGGCAAAGGGAGTGATAGCAACAAAAAACATGGAAACCTGAAACAGTCTGCCATATTGGCAAAGCTGTAAGAAGTTCATTATGGCTGAAACAAAAGAATCAGAGACCAGGCAGATGAGGCTGGAGAGGCAGGTGTGGGCTGGATCCTGGAGGGCTTTTGAAAAATATTAACATATTTGTCAATTTTCCTGGAAGAACTTGCACAGGTACTATAGGACATTACTTGTATTTAGTCATTAACATTTGTTGAGTCCTGTCATGACTGTGTCAAGTCAAGACTACTCACCACTTACCACAGGTCACAAACTGGTGACTGCTCCAAGGTGAAGTGGAAGCAGAAATTAAACAGTTGTGTTGGCTGGGCATGGTGGCTCACACCTATAATCCCAGCACTTTGGGAGGCTGAGGTGGGTGGATCACTTGATGTCAGGAGTTCGAGACCAGCCTGGCCAACCTGGTGAAACGCTGTTTCTACTAAGAATATAAAAATTAGCCTGGCATGGTAGCACATGCCCATAATCCTAGTCACTTGGGAGGCTGAGGCAGGAGAATATAGCCTGTTATAGAAAACTGAACTTAATTCTGAGGAGAATACGTTTCAGATATAAGTTGAGATCAAAGGGTATCCAATAAATAATATTCTCTTCCCTGCTCAAGTTCTGAACCTATAGAGACATAGGACAAAGGAGCAAGGCAGGTAGGTGGAGATCAAAATTTCGCGTTTATCACTTATAAAGTTACGATAGGAGAACTGGTTTACATCTAAGGGCAAATAGACTTTTTAATACTAAACTGCAGGACTTAGCAGGTTTATTCACCCAGCAACACTAGTCTGGGGTAGACCTGCCTCCTAGCAGAGGAAAGGAGCAGAGCAGAACAGGTGCCCCCAGAGGAAAGGGGAGAGAAAAGGGCTGGACTTTGCAAGTCTAGTTTCTTCTTCCAGATGCACTAATCAGAGAAGTCCTGTCACCCCTGGCAGCCTGAGTCAGGGATATGATAAGTCCAGGAATATTAAAAATTGGGTATTGTCCCATGTGGAAGGAAGCATCAAGAGCCGGGAAAAAAGTTTTCCTCCCCTCTCATTCCCCAGCTTTTGTTTCCTAGTGCATTGTTCTTAACCAGTAAGTCTAGGTTATGCCAGTCTTTGTCCATCCGTCCATCTGTCCTTCCTTTCTTCCTCCCTCCCTTTCTTCCTCCCTCCCTTCCTTCCATCTATAGTCAGAAACCTCTTAATTTTCATTTTCCTTTTGAATCACCTAGGTAAGCCTCGCACAAGCCATTGAAACGTAGTTCACTGGTTTTGTAATGCATGTGTGCTGTTTGAAATTCAGCTGCTTTGCAGCTTATATGCAGCAAGTAATTGTTCCACTTTCTGACGTCTGAAAGGCCTATAGGAAGAAAGTCTGTTTTCCCTTAAGTCTAATCTTTCCTCAGCCATGCCTGCTTAGGAAAAGCTGTGCCGGCATAATTCAAGGTCAAGCAGCAGTCTTCTGAACACTGAAGACACCCAAGCCCTCTAATGCTGTATTCCCTTCGCTGAGGCCAGCACTGCTGGCATTTGCTTGCTAGGCCTGAGCGGCCAGTGTGTAATGAGACTGCCTGCACAGCTCATGTTTAAATGAGCTTTAATACCACCGTCACCACGACCACCACCACAACTGCCTGTGGCTTGTTTCTTGATGAGGCCTGCAAAGCCCCCAACCCTTTGCTAAGGCTTATGTGCCTAGTACATGCAGCTTTGTCTCTATAGAAACAGCCGCTTATGCGAAGACAAAGTTGCCATAACTACAGTCACTGCTGAGGTCAAAATACTGTGTGCCTATGGTTTATACATTTCTAATTCAGCCTCAGTAGTTAAAAGCTTGTGTGTAACTATAAAAACATCAGTAAAAAGCCTAATACAAGCTTCTACAAGAAAATACTGTGCCGCCTCATTACAGTCCAAGACCCAAAGTCCTGGCCTTCACGGAAGCCTCAGAAATGCCAAATGTATTTTACTGCCTTGAATTTTACTTCGTGTCTGTTTATCGTAATTATAGTGCCATGCACCAGCGGTTAGGATCTCTGAGACCCAATAAATAGCATTGTCCCTCCCTTGACCGGGTTCTGTATTTTGGTCTCTGAAATGTCCTCCTTTTAAAAGCTTATCTGCAGCGAATAATTGTTACACTTTTAATTTTTCCCTCCTTTTTAAAAGGAGGGCATTTGGGAGACCAAAATATTGTTTCTCTGACTAGTAAAGCAGTATTGGACCGCCTGTTCTGCTGCCACTGCCACTGTGTGTGCCGCTGGACGGAGGGGCCGGGCTTAAAAAAAAAAAGCAGTATTGGAGAATGTGACACATCTACAGGCCAGTGAACTTAACACCGAACTTGGTAATTCCACAGACTGACCTACTCATGGGTAGTTGTGAGGGTCCTGCATTTATGGGTGGAGGACCAGAGGAGAATGCACGCTCCTCGGGGCAGCTGACTTCCAAAAGGAAGGAAGAGAAAGGGCTGAGCTCCACATACCTTGTTTCTCCTTCCAAACTCACTGTTAAAGATCCTGTTACCTTCTCTAGAGTGGATTTTGTGCAGGTGGAGAGGAGCCAAGGGTGGAAACTCAGGAGCCAGGAAGAAGCATTCCCCTCTCGCAGCATGTCCAAAGGGAAATGGAGCTCGCTGGGGATTGTACCCTGATAAAAGAATTCAGAGTAGACAGTGCTTTATGAGTTGGTCATCACCATATACTTATTAAGTACCTATTATGTATCAAATGCAAATATATTATCAGTGAATCCCCAGAATAACTATTATTCCCAAGTTTTAAAAGGGAAACTGAGACGGAGACAAAATTGAGTAATTCCCTAAAGGTCCCACATCAGTAAGCATTCAGGTCTGTTGGACCCTTCAGTGAGTACCACAGCTCCCCCTCCAGGTTCCAGCCACTGCTCCTCCCCTTCAGGCCTAGCAATGGTAAGGTTCCCCACGATGGTCAGCCACTGGGTGGTTCAATAGCCTTTGTTGGTTTCCCTATTTCTATTCTAACATGTTGGAGAATTGAGGGCTGGAGTAGTAGGGAAGATAATACTTGGGTCTTGACAGACGTGGGCCTTGGTAGGATCTTATTAGGAGACGATGGTTTTTTTTTGGTTTTTTTTTTTGGTTTTTTTTTGAGACAATGGATTTTAAGAAGTGAGTGTATGGGCAGAAGTCTTGGTTAAAGCCTTGGGAGAGGAGAGGGGAGGATAGGGGAGGAGAGATGACAGTGTTCAGTGTTGGGGGTAGGGAGGAGGAGTCGGTGAAGGGAAATAGCAGTGACTGTCACAGAACAACTAATTTAGCCAGGCAAGTAAGCTGGAAAGAGACTTAAGAAAAATAGAACAGCCAGGCCGGGCGCCGTGGCTCACACCTGTAATCCCAGCACTTTGGGAGGCCGAGGTGGGTGAATCACGATGTCAACAGTTCGAGACCAGCCTGGCCAATATGGTGAAACCCCATCTCTACTAAAAATATAAAAATTAGCTGGGCACGGTGGCGTGTGCCTGTAGTCTCAGCTGCTCAGGAGGCTGAGGCAGGAGAATCACTTGAACGGGGGAAGTGGAGATTGCAGTGAGTTGAGATCGTGCCAGCCAGCATGGGTGACAGAGCAACATCCCTTCTTCCTCTCTTGCCTCCTGTATCTTGTCAGTGCCTCCCATTGACTTAGCCCAGCCAGCGGCCAGAAGATACGGGAGCCCAATGATGGTGTCCCCTGGGGCACACAGGCAGAGAATGGAGTGTGGTGGGTCTGGAGGGGCCAGCAGATGGTACAGCTCCAGACCAAGGAGTGTCCTGAGTGTAGGCCTGCAAGCATGGATGGAGTTCCAAGGAGTTTTTCTGGTTCAGCTATGCCTATAATGCATCATCTATGAAATGCAATCTGTTTCCCTGAAGTAGAACTTAAAGACATCTGTGAAGCAAATTACGCATAAAATCTTTCTGGATATGTTACTGAGTTTTTCCAATGCTGTCAACCTAATCTTCATAGAGAACATTTTTTTGTACAACTATCATAAACAGGTGAGGGACAAAATCAACTAGAGAAAGCCTGTTTTCACTTGCTGTGAGCATCAGTCATGTGTTTTACAGAGGGAATGGGCAATGTTGATTAACCTGGGAGTGAGTGAATGGATATTAATTGAGAGCTTCTACTGTACAAATTTTACATTTCACATCACAGAAGTGTGCATTTGTTCCCAAGAAGACCTTGCTAGGTGAGCAAAGTAGTTATTTTGGTAACCCCTTCCCACCTAGCAGGTGAGGAAACAGCTTCCTGGAAGTGCCTTCTTAGCCTCCAGTCTTGGCTGGTTGTAGAGAAGCCTGCACCAAAACAGAACATCAGGCATTGGCGCATTAATAGATTTTTCTTGCATGTAAAAAAAATACACTACCAGCATCTTTTTAGCTTTTTTTTTTTTTTGAGGCAGAGTCTCTGTTGCTCAGGCTGGAGTACAGTGGCATAATCATAGCTCACTGCAGCCTTGACCTCCTGGACTCAAGCAGTCCTCCCACCTCAGCCTCTTGAGTAGCTGGGCTTACATATGTGTGTCATTACAGCTGGCTAATTTTTGTATTTTGGGTAGAGGTGGGGTTTCGCCATGTTGCCCAAGCTGGTCTTAAACTCCTTAGCTCAAGCGGTACACCTGCTTCGGCCTCCCAAATTGCTGGGATTACAGACATGAGCCACTGCACCTGGCCTTTTTTAGCTTTTATGTTTTGTAGCTGTGAGCTTTAAAGTATCTGATAGGTTTGTAAATATTTGTACCTGTATTATAATGGAGATTTATGGCATTTGAATAATTATTCCTCAATAGGGCTGCCTCCATAACTCCCACCTGTAATCCCAGCACTTTGGGAGGCCAAGGCAGATGGATCACGAAGTCAGGAGTTCACGACGGGGCTAGCCAACACAGTCAAACCCTGTCTGTACTAAAAATACAAAAATTAGCCTGGGCGTGGTGGCAGGTGCCTGTAGTTCCAGCTACTTGGGAGACTGAGGCAGGAGAATTGCTTGAACCTGGGAGGCAGAGATTGCAATGACCTGAGATCACACCACTACACTCCAGCCTGGGTAACACAGCAAGACTCTGTCTCAAAAAAAATTTTTTTTTCTTCAATAATTACATATGAAATGAATTCATGAAAATGTTGCATAAATTTTTAGTAGTTTCCTTTGGCACATTTTATTCATAAAATTCTAACAAACTTTTTCTTGACTCATTTTATTCTTCGAGGAAAAATTACTTTTTACAATGTGGCCCTATAAATAGTCTCATATAAAAATAAATTAACTGACATTTAATTTATTAAGCACATTTCCTAAAAATAAAAAGTGGGGCCAGCCATTGTAGTGTACCTTAATTTCAGTTATAAAGAAAGCAAGAACGTTATTCATAAATTATAAACCCGGCTGGGCGCGGTGGCTCAAGCCTGCAATCCCAGCACTTTGGGAGGCCGAGGTGGGTGGATCACGAGGTCAAGAGATCGAGACCATCCTGGTCAACATGGTGAAACCCCGCCTCTACTAAAAATACAAAAAATTTAGCTGGGCGTGGTGGCACGTGCCTGTAATCCCAGCTACTCAGGAGGCTGAGGCAGAAGAATTGCCTGAACCCAGGAGGCGGAGGTTGCGGTGAGCCGAGATCGTGCCATTGCACTCCAGCCTGGGTAACAAGAGCAAAACTCCGTCTCAAAAAAAAAAAAAAAATTATAAACCCAAGAAACGCTGCCAATTCCAATAGCCTTAGCCTAATACTTAGGCAGTGTGATGTGCAGCATTGTAACAGCAGGTGTGCTGTCTTGCTCACTGGCATACTTTCTTGCAGGTCAGTGTCTGCTGTATTTCACCATCACCTCCGCCAAAAGCCAAATAAAATAGAGAAATCTAGAGCTGTTAATATCCCAATGCTGGAAACCTTTCCTGCTTACCCTTCTCCCCCAAGATGGGAAAAATTCCTTCTCTGCTTCTTTTTTTTTTTTTTGAGACAGAGTCTCACTCTATCACCCAGGCTGGAGTGACTCTGTCACCCCAGGCTGGAGTGCAGTGGGATGATCTCGGCTCACTGAAACCTCTGCTGCCCAGGTTCAAGCGATTCTCCTGCCTCAGCCTCCTGAGTAGCTGGGATTACAGGCCCCTGCCACCATGCCTGGCTAATTTTGTACTTTCATTAGAGATGGGGTTTCACCATTTTGGCTAGGCTGGTCTTGAACTCCTGCCTTTGTGATCTGCTCGCCTTGGCCTCCCAAAGTGCTGGGATTATAATTACGAGCCACCGCATCCAGGCCCCCCTTCCTTACCTTTAAGATGGGTGTGCATAGACACACACACACACACACACACACACACACACATACACACACACACACACACACACACACACACTTACTTAAGGTTATTTCACAGTATCCATGGTCTTATTGAGAGAATTTCGGTCTAAACCTTTGGAACAAATTTTTGCCCTGAATTCCTTACATACTTTTTCTTTTCTCTCTTCTTTTAGGCAGTATTTTTGTGTTTCTGCAGAGTTTTGCACAAAATCTGTTCCCATGCAAACCAATGAGGGAGAAGTATCGGAAGAAAGCAGTTCCAAGGTCAGTAAATTACTGAAAGGTACAGTTTGGATAGAAATTGAACAGTAGAGGCTGTAGATGAGTAGAGTGGATGTTTTGTTTTATGTGACTGTGAAAATTAGATTGATTTAAATTAGAACCTAATCTAAGATTGAGAAATATTTTTTCTTTTCAGTATACTTTTTGATGCTATATGCTAATTTAAAACAATTTTACTTAACTACAGAACACTTTATAATTAAATTTTAGAGTACTGATGTCTTTTAAATTTTATTATGAAAGTTACTATATGCTTATAAAAAATTAAAACATCAGAAGTATATAAAGTCAAAACTCAAAGCTGGTCTCCTGCTCCTGCTGCACAGAGGCAATCACTGATCATTTTTAGATGCTCTTCTGTTATAAAACAGAGCATTTTTAGATGCTCTTCTTTTATTTGCTTTATTTTAAATTCAGAGGTACCTGTGCAGGTTTATTACATGGGTATGTTGTGTGATGCTGAGGCTTGGGGTACGAATGATTTCATCACTCAAGTAGGAGCATAGTACCAAGAGCTTGTCTTTGAACCCTTGTTCCCTTCCCTTCCTCTCCCTTTCAGAGTCCCCAGTGTCCACTGTTGCCATCTTTATGTCCACATGTACTCAGTGTTTAGCTCCCACTTATAAGTAAGAACATCCAGCATTTGGTTTTCTGTTCCTGTGTTAATTCATTTAGATAATGACCTTCAGCTCTATCCATGTTGCTGCAAAGGACGTGATTTTATTTATTATTATTATTATTATTATTATTATTATTATTTTGAGACAGGATCTGGCTCTGTTGCCCAGGCTAGAGTGCAGCCACACTATCTTAACTTATTGTAGCCTCTCCCTCCTGGGCTCAAGCCATCCTCCCTCCTGAGTAGCTGGGACTACAGGCGCCCACCACCAAACCTGGCTAATTTTTATATTTTTTGTAGAGACAGGGTCTCACTTTGTTGCCCAGACTGGTCTCAAACTCCTGAGCTCAAATGATCTACCTGCCTTGGCCTCCCAAAGTACTGGGATTACAGGCATGAGCCACCATGCCTGGATGATTTATTTCTTTTTTATGGCCGTGTATTATAAATTTTTAAGTGGTAATTTGTTTGGTTTGGTTTTTCAATCTAAAGCCTAAGGGATGTTATCATCATCGAATCTTAAATATAAATTTATATAAATATATATGAATCCTGTATATAAATATTTATGTTTCTGTCTATATCTGGCTCTATGCCCTGATTTTCCTTGGCTGCTTCTTAACATGGTCACATGAGACCCTCAGTATTACTTTTACTTCTCTCTTTGTCCATTCAGAGTTGTCTCTAGCTCTTCCTGGGAGCTCTGAAAACAACTCCTTCCATTTCTTTCCGAATGCCCATTCTACGGAGCTGTGATCTAGTCCATGGCTTGGGTGGAGGGACAGATGCCATCCCATCCTCTTGGTTTTCCTTTCCCATCTCACCAGATTTCTTTCTTCTTTTTGTAAGCAGAAGCTTGTAGACTTTTGTCAGACCTCATCTCGACCCTGAATCTCATGTAGGGTGTCAGAGCCTGTGAGGTACACACATACTCTAGGAATCATACACACACACACACACACACACACACACACGGTACACAAGATACACATACCCCAGAATTTCTGAGGTACACATATAGCCTTCCCCAAGATCCTAATTTATTAATTTATAGTGAAATGTTAAGGAAGATTGGGGCTGGCATGCTGGCTTATGCCTTCAATCCCAGCACTTTCGGGTGGATTTCTTGAGCTCAAGAGTTTGAGACCAGCCTGGGCAACATGACAAAATCCTCTTTCCAAAAAAATACAAAAATTAGCTGGGCATGGTGATGCACACCTATAATCCTGCTATTCAGGAAGCTGAGGTGGGAGGATCATTTGTATCCAGGGAGGTTGAGGCTGCAGTGAACTGTGATCATGCCACTGCACTCTAGCCTGGGCAGCGAAGCAAGACCCCGTCTCAATAAAAGGAAGATTGGATTTCTGGCTAGTACATTTTCACCCTGGAAAGATAAGTTATAATTGGGAGATTGCTTGGTGAATATATAATTAGACCAGTATAGAATATATTACTGTGCAATAAGCTCAGTTTTCAACTTCTTTTTGGAAAAATAAAAAACTAGCTTTCTTGATTTTTTAATTACTGAATAGTTTATCAGTTCTGAATGGATTAGACTCAAGAATAAGAGAATATTCTTTTTATACTTGCACTAAGTAGATGCTTCTGTTATAAATTAGATTATAACTTCAACTTCATCAGTCTTAGTTTAATTCAGGTTCTCATTTACTAATTTACAATGAAATAGTATGTTTTTCCTCCTGATGTTTGTTTTTGTTTCAAATCCTATATTTGAAGGCCGATCTTATCTCGCAGGGGTCAGCCTACTCTCTCCCTCCAAGGGTGTCATCAGTCAATCAATCAACAGAATCTTATATTTGGAATGATTTCATATATGGCTGGAATTTGCCAGTGTGCTATAGTTACATAGTTTGTGGGTGTCTGTTAACAGAAAGCCATCAGGAAAGGTAGCAGGTTTTGAGGAAAAGTAGATGATTTTCTATCAAATAATTTTGAGCTAATTTTTCTTTTTTTCAATAGTTGTGTTTGTTTGTTTGTTTGTTTGTTTGTTTGTTTGTTTGTTTGTTTTTCTGAGACCGGATCTTGCTCTGTCACCGTCTGGAGTATGGTAGTGTGATCACAGCTCACGGCTCACTGCAGCCTCAACCACTCGGCCTCAAGCAGCGCTCCTACCTCAGCCCTCCCAAGTAGCTGGGACCACAGGTGTGTGCTACCACACCTGGCTCTTTTGTTTGTTTGTTTGTTTGTTTGTGTTTTGGTACAGACAGAGTCTTGCTGTGTTGCCCAGGCTGGTCTTGAACTTCTGGGCTCAAGTGATGCTCCCACCTTAGCCTCCCAAAGTGCTGGAATTAAGGTGTGAGCCACCGAGCCTGGCCTTCAATAAGTAATTCTTAAGCATATGTTATCATGGGAAACAACAATGAACAAGAAGACATAGTACCTACTCTCAAGGTGGTTTCATTTTAGTGGGAGACATGAATAAATATAAATAAAGATAATTATAGATGATAGTAAGTACTATGAAGAAAAGTTATGTCATGCAGGGCAACTGGGAGGAAAAGTGTAGCTAGTCAAGGAAGGTCTCTCTGAGAAGGGGACATTTCAGCTGAAGCTAATGGGCAAGGGAGCCAGCTCTGTGGAGAGCTGGAGGAACAGTGTTCTAGACACAGGAAACAGCTACAAAAGCCTGTGGCCTCTTCCAAGAACTCTCAGAAACCTGTGGGCCAAGTTTGACAGGAGGTTAGAGAGAAAGGCAGAGACCTTGCAAGCCCTCAGAGGTCACAGTGTGCACCGTGGACCTATTCTCCATGCACAGGGCAGCCATTGAAGGCTGTTCACTCGAGGAGTGATGTGGTAGGATTTGGTTTTTTTTTGGAGATGGAGTTCCTCTCTTGTTGCCCAGGCTGGAGTGCAATAGTGCCATCTTGGTTCACCACAACCTCTGCCTCCCAAGTTCAAGCGATTCTCCTGCTTCAGTCTACCACCTGTAGCTGGGATTACAGGTGTGTGCCACCACGCCTGGCTTATTTTGTATTTTTAGTAGAGACAGGGTTTCTCTACTAAAACCAGTCTCGAACTCCTGACCTCAGGTGATGCGCCTGCCTCCGCCACCCAAAGTGCTGGGATTACAGGAGGGAGCCACCACACCTGGCAGGATTTGCATTTTAAGACATGACTTAGTCGGCCAGGTGGGGTGGCTCACGCCTGTGATCCCAGCACTTTGGGGGGAGGAGGCAGGTGGATCATGATCTCAGAAGATCAAGACCATCCTGGTCAACGTGGTGAAACCCCATCTCTACTAAAAATAAAACAATTACTTGGGCGTGGTGGCACATATTGTAGTCCCAGCTGCTTGAGAGGCTGAGGCAGGAGAGGCAGAGGTTGCAGTGAGTTGAGATAGCATCACTCCACTCCAGCCTGGCAACAGAGCGAGACTCTGTCTCAAAATAAAAAACAAAAACGTCTCTGGCTGTTGTCCGGAGAGTGGATTGGAAAGATGTAAGAGTGGAAGCAGGGAGCCTGGTGAGAAGGCATGTGCAGCCGTTCTTCGGGTAAGAGAGAAGGGGTGGGCCGGGCGCGGTGGCTCAAGCCTGTAATCCCAGCACTTTGGGAGGCCGAGGTGGGTGGATCACGAGGTCAAGAGATCGAGACCATCCTGGTCAATATGGTGAAACCCCGTCTCTACTAAAAATACAAAAAAGTAGCTGGGCATGGTGGCACATGCCTGTAATCCGAGCTACTCGGGAGGCTGAGGGAGGAGAATTGCCTGAACCCAGGAGGCGGAGGTTGCAGTGAGCCGAGATCGCGCCATTGCACTCCAGCCTGGGTAACAAGAGCGAAACTCCGTCTCAAAAAAAAAAAAAAAAAGAGAGAGAGAAGGGGTGGACTACATTCATGGGTGGAGCTGGAAGTGGAGGAAAGACAGACTTCAGCTGTATTTTGGCACTAACACTGATGTGACTTAAGGATGAATTGGGATCCTTTTGCATCATAGAAATCGAGAGGGGAATTTCAAGAAAAAGATTCATTCACTAACCTCAGATCTAAGAATCAAGGAGGTTGACAAGTGAGAAAAGTCACCTGGATTTGTTTAAGAACTAATTAAAAAGAAAGGATATGAGAAAACTTTCTGGGGAGATGGAGATGTTCCATGTCTGATAGGAGTGCAACAGTTTACAATAAAAATAGTTACAATGTAGGTACATTGTAGTTGGTGAAACTCCTGTAATCAAATGGGGTGGAGAATACACAGAAGTGTAGATGAAGCAGGAATGGTAGAATGTTGACAGCTATTGAAGTGTTGTGATGGGTGCGTAGGGGTTTATTTGTATTTACTTTGTACATATTTTAAATTTTCTATGATAGTTTCTAAAAATAACTTATTGGTGTTCAAGGGTCCCAT